CAGCGATGGTGATGGCTATGGAGGATGGTGCTGCGGATTTATGATGACAATGCTACATGTACCCCTTGGTGTACCACTTGGTTTACATCCAAGGGGTACATGTACTCATTTACCCTTAATGAACAATTTACTAAATTGTTCATTAAGGGTAAATGGGTACATGTACCCCTTGAATGTAAACCGAGTGGTACACCAAGGGGTACAAGTACCATTATTGTTATGATGATGATGATCGAAGGTGGCTTTATGCGAGAGAAAGAGAGAGATGAGGGCCGTATTTTAAGAGGAGAGAAGGGTTTTGAAATCTTTAAAACAATTCATTGTCATTTAAATGTCAATTAAATGTAAATTAAATCTCGTAATTAAAGAGTCATTTAAATAAATAAAAAGGGAAAAATAAGGAGACCGGTTATGGTGCACGGAAAATTAAGGTTCAGGGCTCACGGGTCGAGTTTCCTCAGGCTTGACTTAGCCAATTAAAATGGCTTGGTTCGAAACTAACGAATATTCGGGCTCGGCAATATTTAAAATTAAAACGGACTATTATATATATATACACAATAATACATTTAATATTAACAAGCATATCTGACAATTAATAATAATAATAATAATAATAATAATAATAATAATAATAATAATAATAATAATAATAATAATAATAATAATAATAATAATAATAATAATAATAATAACAGTTAGGCAATTAGGCATCTAATGACATTTAGACATTTAATATTATTAATAATAATGATACTAATAATAACAATTAATAGCAAATAAGCATTTTAGGCATTTAGTAATAATATTTATACTAATAAACATAACAACAATTAATTAGCCAATTAAATAATAATAATATTATTAATAATAATAATAATAATAATAATAATAATAATAATAATAATAATAAGAAAAATTATAATAATAACGATAATAAATAATAACCTTATAAACAATATTCGATAAATAGAATATTCCGAGAAATTCTATAAATCGAACGGGGCGTTACAAGCAGCTTCAAGAAAGGAAGATGATTGAAGATGGGACTTGTGCTCTCTGTGGGAATGGGTTAGAGGATCTAGATCATTAGTCCCGCTCACCTGCCCATCGTGGGCAGTGCCCACTTTTTTGTCTTATATGAAAAACGTATTCTGAGAATACATTTTTCAATTAAATTTAATTGACAAACGTATTCTCAGAATACGTTTTTCATATAAGACAAAAAAGTAGGCACTGCCCACGGTGGGCAGGTGAGCAGTTCTATCTAGATCATATGTTATTTAACTGTGCTTTGTCTAGGCTGGTTTGAAAGCTGAGTGGAGCGCATTAGAGTGCACTTGAAAGTGAGATCTCCTCTTTTAGATATTGGTGGGGTGGAAAAAATGTTTTCCAGTTGGTTAGGAAGCCTTAAAGTTGGGATTAGTTTGTCAACTTATATCCTTTGGTGACTTTGAAAAACTAGAAATGCTTGGTCATTTAGAAGGGAGAGGATGAGTGAGAAGTAGTTGGTTGAGGGGGACTAGGACTCAGTGGTTGGAATTTGCTGAGGTGAGGATGAACAAACAAATGTTGTTTGATCATCGTTGTACTATGATTTCCTAAAAAACTTAAAGACACCCATACATGAAGCACCCAGAACAAAAGTAAGAGTTGACGTTGACAAGAAATAATACATTACAGCTGCCTAAGACAAACACACATCCTTCACAGGGTTAATTGTACTACAGCTGTGGATGTCAGTTTCCAATTCCAATCTATAAAGTTCACGACAGTTTTTTTTTTTTTCCTCAGGTGAGGCACTTCACCATGTAAGGGCCTTCAAGCTCGTACCCTAATTTTCTGTAGTAATGCCTTGTCCCAACACCTGAAATCACGGCTATCTTTGTCGACCTATGCTCCCTAACCGCAATCCTCTCTGCCTCCTCCATTAGAAGTGTGCCATAACCTTGGTGTTGCAGTTTATCAGCCTCTCGTCCATGAACTGGAACTGCTGTCCCATAAACATGCAATTCACGAACAATAGAACACTTCCCCAAGAGCTCCGGGCACGTAACATTCCTTCCACATTTACGCAAACGCAATAGCCCAACAAGTATGTCCTGGAGTCAGAACAGAGCATTTATTTAGTTTTATCTTATATCATTATAAAAAATGATATCGTTTAAATAGCGTAATCAATGATTTCAAGACCAGACAAATTAAATAGAGAATGGACACTTTAAGAGAGGCTGGAGATGGAGAAGAGAGGCGAATTGTAGGGAGTCAAAAAAAAAAAATAAAAAAAATACATATTGTTAGGCAGACCTAACGAAAAAGAAAAAAGTGGGAGCAAAAAATGCTGTCGTGACCCGTTGAGCAAAAAATGCTGTTGTGACCCGTTGAGTCACATTGTTCACTAAAGAAAATTTGTGGGTAATAGGAGTCATGCTACCCGTAACTAACTGGGTGAGCTGATGATTCTAATGATTATAGCGGCACAACATTTGAGGACACTGCAGACATTATGCAAGTCAAGAGATGGCAATATAAGTAAATTTCCACACTTGGTGACATAAGAAACATAAGTTACAAAAAAAAAATGGCTAGTAGTTTATACACGGTGGCACGCCTTATGTGAGACACAGGGAGCATGACTTCGTTTCATTGGCTGAGAATTTTCATGACTAGACAACCGCCCACATATGACATACCAGCCTCAATAACCAAAGATAAGCTCATAAGAATTTACTTTGGCTTTGTCCCAAAAGTTAAATGAGGTTCCTCCAAATAAGCATGCGTTTGCTCAATTAATTAATTTGTAGATTTCTTCCCATGCAGAGCAGTTGGGTTTGGAAAAAGAAAAAAACAAAAGCATAAGTTGACACACCTGTCGTGTGTCTTCATATGAAAGAAACGTTTCCCAGCCCTCATTAGCAGTATAATCACGACGAACAAGCTGTACTTCTTCTGGCTTTATCTTGTGGTGAATGTCCTGATTATTGTTCAGTAAAATATCAATTTGCTGCATAGAATTAATTAAAGCATCCCTAGTGCAATGAAATATTCAATCACTTGCCTGAATACCAGCTTCACGCGTTCGCACATCTCTACATTTCAAACCCAAATCATCCATCCTTGCTAAAGCTAGTTCCCGAAGATTTCCCTTCTCGACCCCAGAAGTAACTAGAGGCATAGGAATATCTCGCTGAACTCGGTACACACGAGTCCAAGGAGGAACCATTGCTAGAATTCTAGCTACAATGTCTACAAGCTGTTCAGGTGGATAATTTCTATACCTGTGCAAGATTACAACAGAAACAATTAGCATTTTGCACAATTAAAATATCCTTGAAGTCACACTGCCCAAAAATGAAAAACAATGATACTAAAAAGTGAATCTGAGATGACCTTCCAGATTTCCAAAGTTCGTATAGCCCAGTTCCACGAATGACGAGGGTAGGATAAATTTTAAGCCCATCAGCTCTAAAGCGAGGGCTCTCAAAGAACTCTTTGAAACTTTCCAAGTCTCTCTCAACCCCAACATTGGGAAGATCAGGCATCATATGAGCAACAACCTTTTGTATAACATGTGAATAGCATCAGGAAAAACAATTAACAAGCCTCACAATCATACAATTTTATCCCTTAAACCATTTAAATGGGTTATCAAAGCTGTAGAACAGCATTTATCTCATACTATTCAATATGCTCTTGCTATTTCACGTTTCTATATTAACTAGATACAATATAATACATGTTCTTTTCCACACACAAAAAGGAGCAACTATATTACACCGTTATCCCTGTCGGTGATAGAAGTAGTGTTTCGCCATTTTGTATGTTCTTAATAATACTATACTTGTCAAAACGTATACGTATGAAGCCTGTTGTAGTGCCCGTGGTATCATTCGGGGAAAAAAGGAAAGAAATGTGTCCTTAGAAATGCCTTTAAAGCTTAGGTTGAAACGAAGCTGATTTTGAAATCTCCCTGCGTAATTGCATCTCGTTTGTATTTAGTTCAAAAAGTTTAACCATTTGCCAATACCAAAACAAATGTTTTGTTATTGAGAGTTCAAAGTACACAGGCTTAAGTAGTGTCCCAACAGATATTCCTTCATATGTTTTCTATTCAAATATTTTCAAATATGGTTTATCCTAATGATACAAGCAGAATGAAACGATTCGGTGAATGGACAGTTAACATCTATCAAGTATTAAGTGAGAACACATCCAAGTAAAGCTTGGTGGAATATTTTGATTTTAACATGATATTGACACAATATTGGGGATAACTCAAATAATAAGAATTGTAAAACTTGAATCTACAGAATACATATTAGAAAAATAGCCATCCAAAGACCCTCTGATTCAAGTATCACATTTGATAGTTAATATTGAAAATTAACAACAAAAAAAAAAAAGAAACAAAAAAAAAGATTGCCCAATTGGAATGAGTGAGATGCAGGTAAGGTGGCCGACTTAATTTAAAATTTCTCAACTTCCTCTAGGTTTCTGTTAATGTAAACATGGTATAGATTAGATGTATCAATTAGGTGATTTGGTAAATCCCGTAGATTAGGTCATTTGATTTCTTTCCTTTCTTTCATCTCTTTTGGCTTGTATATATATCTTGTAATCTTCATAGTGGAATACAACATTCAAGCTTAATAGCATTACATGGCATCAGAGCCAAACCAAAATAAAGTTAGGGTTTTTTGAAACTTTTAGCAAAATTCTTTTGTGATTAGAGTAGACACACTTCGGGTGAGTTTCGGGTCTCACCTCTTGTACCCTCAGACTCGTCGTCGCCGGACCGGCCATCCGGTGAAAGATCGTCGGCAGAATCCGCGCGTGTGAGGAACACGCGCCGCCACAACCACCTGCAGCTTGTCTCACGCGCCGGCGCGTGAGGGCGCGTGTCTGGCCGGAAATTTTTCTGGCAAACGTCCGTCTGCTCGGAATTCTTCAGGCTACTTGTGGGTGTTCTCAGTTTTGGGTTTCAGTGACCCCTTGGTGACAGGTTGATTTTTTCTTAATTTCAGCCCTTCTGTTAAATTCGGTTCACTCGGGTTCTTATGGCTGCGAATAAAATTGTGTCTGAAATCGTCCCTATTATGAATAAAATCACCGATGTTATCTAATTTCCTCGGATGGAGTAAAACTATTATTGTCCACCTCCGTAGTATTGACAAGGACGATCACTTGGATTCGGGTCCTCCCACAGACGATGTCAAAGATGATACTAATCGGGCGTGGTTACGTGATGATGCAAAATTGCTCGTTCAAATTCGAAATTCCATTGAGCCTGATATACTTTCTTTGGTCAATCATTGTGAATTTGTCAAGAATTGATGAATTATCTAACATTCTTATACTCTGGACGTACCAATATCTCTCGTATCTATTCAGTTTGCAAATCGTTTCATAGAGGAGAGCAACAGGATAAAAACGCTACGGCATATATCATGGAGTTTAACAAGGTTTATGAGGAACTAAACTCTCTCCTCCCGTTAAGCAACGATGTCAAAGCAATGCAGAAACAACGGGAACAAATTGCTGTTATGAGCTTCCTCACTGGGTTACGTCCAGAATTTGATGCTTTCAAGAATCAGCTTCTCTCCGAATCGGTCATTCCTTCTCTCCAAGAGACATTTTCCCGATTCCTTCGGACTGAGGAAATGCAGTCTCCAATTATCGGCACTCATATCTCTCAACATAGTGCCATGGTCAGTCGTGGAGCCTCCCAAGGTGTTTCTCGTGGCGGATCTCGACGAGGATCTCGAGGGGGTTCTCCTGGTGGTACTCGGGGAGGTCCGACAAATCGTGGCTCTCGCAATCCCGACCGACCAAGTGGAATGTTATTATTGTCATGAACTTGGGCACACAAAGTATTCATGTCCTCAGTTGGAGAAGAAGAATCAGAAAGGCCCCTCTGCTCATGTTGCTTCATCTTCTGACATGGTCACTATCTCTGCTGAGTATTCTCGACTTACTGCAACAGAGAAGCCTTCTTCATCTGCTGCCGTCTTTGCTGACACAGGTAATTCCGCTACATACCTCATATCTAAAGGCACCAGAGTCATTGATTCAGGTGCATCAGATCATATGACAGGTAACCCAAATCTATTTTCCACCCTTGACCCTCATACACCTTCTTCTCATGTCACTATCGCTGACGGGTCTACTACTCGTGTCCTTGGTTCTGGTTCAGTCAGTCTTACTCCTTCTATCTCGTTACAATCCGTCCTAAATTTACCAAACTTTGCTTTTAACCTACTCTCTGTTAGCAAACTTACTAAATCATTGAACTGTAGCGTCTCATTCTTTCCAAACCATTTTATTGTGCAGGATCTTTCAACGAAGCAGATCCTTGGTGAAGGACGTGAATCTGATGGCCTCTACGTTTTCGAAACACCGACATCTAAGTCACTTGTTTGCACCCCCTTCTCCTCCGCACTAGATATGCATTGTCGTCTTGGCCATCCTTCCCTCCACAGTTTAAAAAAATTGGATCCTCAGTTTTCAAGGTTGTCATCCTTATTTTGTGAGTCCTGTCAGTTTGCTAAACATTGTCGTAGTTCTTTATCACCTAGAATAAACAAGAGGGCTGCGACCCCATTTAGGTTGGTTCATTCTAATGTTTGGGGTCCTTGTTCTGTTTCATCAAAATCTGATTTTAGATATTTTATTACCTTTATTGATGATTTTTCTCGTGTCACTTGGATATACTTTATGAAAAGTCGTTCTGAAGTTTTTCAACATTTTTTGTCCTTCAGTGCTGAAATTAAAACTCAATGTCATGCTACCATTCAAACACTTCGAAGTGATAATGCGAAAGAATTTTTGTCTGCACCTTTTCAGTCTTATATGCTTGAAAATGGGATTTTGAGCAGGTGTTGATACACCTGCTCAAAATGGGGTTGCAGAACGTAAAAACCGACACCTCCTCGAGGTTGCTCGGGTATTACTCTTTCACATGCATGTTCCTAAAACCTTTTGGGTTGATGCTGTGTCTACTGCTTGTTTTTTAATTAATCGAATGCCATCAGTCGTATTGGGTAATTCAATTCCTTTTTCAGTTCTTTTCCCCGATAAACCCATTTTTCCTATACCACCTAAAATTTTTGGGTGCACTTGTTTTGTTCGGGATACAAGACCTCATATCACTAAGTTAGATCCCAAGTCTCTCAAGTGTATTTTCCTTGGGTATTCGAGGGTGCAAAAGGGGTATAGGTGTTTCTCTCCCGTCCTCGGTCGTTATGTTGTGTCTAGGGATGTTAGTTTCAATGAACACCTTCCATTTTTTCATACCCGAGAGCCTCCATCTCCAGAGGAAGACGATTTTTTGGTATATTCTGTTACTCTCACTAGCCATCCTTCCCCTCCACCTCAGAGACCTCGGCCACCCATTACACAGACATATACTCGACGTTCTCAATCACATCACAAGGTCATCATGGACTCTGATTCACGTCCTTCGCCTGCTGCTTCGGTGGAAGACCCTTTGAGTCCAACCTCCACACATGTCCCTCAACCAAATGACCCTGATGACCTTCCTATTGCGCTTTGCAAAGGTAAAAGATCTTGCACATACCCTATTGCTTCTGTTGTGTCTTATGACAACCTGTCTGCTTCTTCAAGTTCTTTTATTGCCAAGCTAGACTCTATCCTTATTCCTACATCTGTTGGCACTGCTTTGGCTCATCCTGGATGGCGTGCTGCTATGATTAAGGAAATGAATGCTCTTGATCATAATGGCACATGGTCTTTAGTGGACTTACCTGTTGGAAAAAAGACAATTGGATGTAAGTGGGTCTTCACCTATGCTACCTGGACTCGGATATGGGTGGCGTATCGGGTGTGGAGATATGAGCGTCCAACTCGTCAATAGTTTAGAAATCTTGAACATTTTAGGCTAAAATGCCACACCCGACACCCATACCCACACCAGTGTCCACACGACATGACACGGGTATTCTTCCTAAACAGAAGAGTCCGGGTAACATTGGTCTTCACTGTTAAAGTTAATCCTGATGGCTCTTTGGCACGTCTTAAAGCTCGGCTTGTAGCTAAAGGCTATGCTCAGACTTATGGCACTGATTACTTTGAGACTTTCTCTCCTGTGGCCAAACTTACTTCTGTCCGGTTGCTCATTTCTCTTGCTGCCTCTTTTGATTGGCCTCTACACCAACTTGATATTAAGAATGCGTTTCTCCATGGCTTTCTTCAAGAAGAGGTTTATATGGAGCAACCACCTGGTTTTGTTGCTCAGGGGGAGTATGGAAAGGTATGTCGTCTTCATAAGTCTCTATATGGGTTAAAGCAAAGTCCCCGAGCTTGGTTCGACAGATTTAGCAAGATTGTTCTGAAATATGGGTTGGTGAGATGTGAATCTGATCACTCGGTATTCTATAGGCGATCAAGCCTTGGAATCATTTTGTTGGTGGTGTATGTCGATGATATTGTTATTACAGGGAATGATAATGATGGGATTTCAAACCTAAAATCCTTCCTCCATGAGAATTTTCAAACAAAGGACTTGGGACACTTGAAATATTTTCTGGGAGTTGGGATA